ACAGAGCCAGAACTAGAGAGACCTCCAGGAGATCATCTTCACAAAATACACACATTTTAAAAGGAGAAAACTGAGTCACAGAGATCGTCCTTGGGTCTCTTTGTCTCCCTGAGTCTTGGTTTCTTTATCCCTAAACAGAGCAGAGTAACTAATGCCTGAACCTCACACAGACGACACGGGGTCCTCCCAGATCGCAAATGTGCCGAGGCCTTGTCGGCTTTCCGGGAGAAAAGAAGCGTGCCCCATCTCAAGCAAACAGCATGTACAGCCTGAACCCCAAACCCCACAAATCCGAGCCTTTGATATTCTTATCCAGAAAAGAATGTTCTATTTAAAGGTTCTCACCATTACATTTATTTTTTGGTAAATACCCCTCTAAGGCTTTTACATTTTAATTTGGTTTACCCAAAATAAAAGTGTTAGACTTCTCAAAACCACATAAAACCATTTTAACCTTTTTTAAATGTTCTTTTTAAGTAGGCTCCACACCCAACATCTGGCTCAAATTCATAACCCTGAGATCAAGAGTCACATGCTCCACTGACTGAGCCAGCCAGGCCCCCACGTAAAACCCCATTTTTAAACTGTTTGAATTTTTTACTACATGTGTGAGTTAGTTTTTCACACACACACACACACACACACACACACACACCAAAACAAACAAACACAGAACTAGTCAATATTTTTTTTAAAAAGCAAAGGAAACAAAATTCCAAGGGCCCTTAAGTACCAAGAAGGCAAGAATTTTTAGGATACTTCTTTACGGATCCCCCAGGTAACCAGGCCAGTGTTTTGTCTTATTTTCTGTACACATAATTGATAACACAATTTTGGAATAAATCAATAAAATCTACTTTCTAAAGTAAGGTGCATGCATATTTTAACATACCCTTTAAACCTGGTGTTTCCATGGCCCACATACTCGGAATGATAGAGGGAAGGCAAGAAGTACTAATGGGATTTTTAGTTGTCTTAAAGAACAACAAGCAAGAGCACCATCCTTGCTCAAGTGCAGTTCACTTCTGTTCAGACCATAGAGAACAGTAAGTGTGAAGGTGCCTAAATTTAAGCCCCGGACATAAGGCATGCAATACAATTGCTTCTGAGCGAATGTCTCGTGTCTGAGCCTTTATAAACAGACAGGTGCGAAGCCTTGGAGTACTCGACTTCAGGGACAGGCCTGTGGGTCGGGCTCATCAGGAGCAGAAAACCGGAGGCACGGTGCATGCATCTGAGGCTGTCTGCACAGCTCCTGCCCATGGAAGCAAGCGGGGAGATCAGCCTTCCGACCACATTCCCTTCCAGTAAAAGGGCCACGGCTAATTTGCATCATCTAAATGGCTAAGTGATTTTCAGAGTGCACTCCCGAACAACTTGCTTTTCACTTTATTTTTAACCACAGGGAGGGCTTCTAGATTCCAGTACACGGGCCGTGGGGCTTCCACCAGTGATGAGCAGCAGGGGGACCCAACAGCGGGAGAGCGAACAAAGCAGCCAGCTTCAGGCTTCCCTGGGCTGTTGCCTCCGCCCGCACAGCATCACCCACAGTCACTTCTCCGCAGAAGGAAAGAACAAGCTGCACAAGGCATAAAAGGCCTCCCCTCTGGGGAAAGGCAGGGCAGCAAAAAAAAAAAAAAAATTCTCAGTGTGGGGCTGAGGGCCAGCGACTAGTTGCAAGACTGGGAGGCTGAACATGCAATTTCAAACCTGTGGGTGTGAGTGGGTGTGCGAGCATGTGTGAGGGTGAGTGTATATGAGTGTGAGCACCTGAGGGCACTGTGAGTGTGAACACATAAGGGTGAATGAGTGTGAGTGTGATCATGTATGAGCATGAATGTGAGGGTGTGTGAGCGTGTGTGAGTGTGTGCCTAAGCATGTGAGGCTTGTGAACCCATACGTGTGAGCATGAACATGTGAGGCCAAGGATGAACATGAGCGTGTGAGTGCCAACGTGTGAATGTGAGTGTGGATGTGGATGTGAGCATGTGTGAGTGTAAATGAGTGAAGGTGTGAGTGTGAGCATGAATGGGTGAGGGTGTGAGTGTAAGCACGTGTGAATGTGAATGGGTGAGGGGGTGTGTGTGATCACATATGAGCGTGAACAGGTGAGGGTGTGTGAGTGTGAGCACACGTGAACATGAATGGGTGAGGGTGTGTGATGGGTGGGGGTGTGAGTGAGCACGTATGAGCATGAACGGTAGGAGTTGTGTGAGTGTGAACAGGTGAGGGTGTGTGAACACATGAGCGCGAACAGGCGAGGGCGTGTGTGTGAGAGCACGTGTGAGGGTGTGAGTGTGAGCACATGTCAGCGTGAATGGCTGTGGGCGTGTGTGTGAGCACGTGTCAGGGTGTGTGAGCACGTGAGTGTGAACAGGAGCGGGGTGTGTGTGAGCACTGTGAGGGGGTGTGTGAGTGTGCACACACGTGAGCGTGAACGGCTGTGGGCGTATGCACCCGCAGCTCAGTGCAGCCCCACAGAAGCAGCAGGCTTATCTACAAAGCACTGAGGAGCCCAGCCAAAAGGCCGGGTCAATCAAGATGTCTGGCCTTCCAAAGACAAAATATCAATATCAGGTAATCAAGGGATTTTTGACCCAATGAGCAGATGTTTGGTTTCACAGATAAGGCTCCACCATAACAATCTGTACAAGAAAAAGAAAACTTAGCTTATCAGGCAAGCACTCAACCAACAGCTGAAAAGTCCCTAGGTTCCCATCATTTCCAGTTGGTTACCCACCCTTTCCCCCACACAGGCCCCGCTTAGGCCTCACGTGACTCAAAGCCAAGCTGGCAGGGGACTTTTCCCTGGCTCTCCTCTGTGGGTATCTGAAAACCTGTGTACAGGTGGGAGGGTGGGTGGCCAACAGGCAGGCCTCATTTGTTTATTTTCATTTATTTTTAAACATGGGGCTTGAACTCAGGACCCTGAGATCAGGACCTGAGCTGAGATCCAAGAGCCGGAGGCTTCACGGACTGAGCCCCCCAGGCACCCAACAGGCCTCATTTCTACCTGTGGACCTGTTAGCTCACAGAACACCACTCAACCATCTGGCCTCTCAGTTGGCATCTCTCTGGCAAATGAAAAAAAAAATTAGCACCTGTCCTTATTGATCTCCCCTTCAGCTGACTTCCAGACAACAGCCCTTCTCAAAGGGACACAGAAGCTGTTTTGAGGGACAGCCAACAGGAGCTGCTAATCCACCACTAGACAGGCCGAATGGAAAACTGGAGAACAACTTAAAGCGACCTGGCTGTGCCAGCGACGGGTCAGGGTTTTGAAAGCAAATGGGAAGAGTGGAACCGAGGACCACCCTCTCCACCAGGCCTATAATTGTGGGCACGAAGTCAGAGAAATGTGAGCGCCTACATCGAGAAGTGTGTCCATCCCTTCCCAGGTGCACCGTTCCTCCCCACCAAGCCGGTGTGTCTGTGCCCACAGCCCTGTCCCGCCACAAAATGCAGGCTAATCGGGGCCAAATTTTGCATACACATTTGCCTCCCCATCATCGGAGAAACTGTCTCGTGAAAAGGAATGCCTGGTCTTCAAAAATTCAGACTGTGATTACTTAAGTGGAAGTCCAAGAGCGAAGGGGTTTGAGGTCCAAAATACCTTCGAGAAGGATGCGAAGTAGAAACATAAAGTTCTGAGCAGCTGTGGTTGGAGTTATTGCCATAGGATGAATAGTATTTGATACTCAAGATGCAGTCAGAAGGCTTCCTACTACAATAAAACGCAGACCTTCCCCCAGCGTAGCACCAGAACCCCTCCCCTTGCACACTAAACTAGGAAATTCCCCCATACTCTGGAAAAGTAAGAGAAAGTCCAGACCTTTTCAGAAGCGCTAGCTTCAACTCTTAACATCTTCCGTTAAGACACTCTGATCCTCCTAAGAGTGAAAAACAGCCTGGGACTGAGACTGACTATGTAGCAGAAATAAACGGTCTTCTGCCATGGCTAGAAAAAGATGTTAGTAGGATGAATCAAAACAATGGCGCTTGAGGGGCCCCTGGGGGGCTCAGGAGGTGAAGCGTCTGCCTTCGGCTCAGGGTCCCGATTGCGGGGTCCTGGGATCGAGCCCCACATGGTGCTCCCGCTCAACGGGGAATCTGTTTCTCCCTCTCCCTCTGCTCCTCCCCCCTGCTTGTGCTCGCTCTCTCAGATAAATAAATAAATACTCTTAAAACAAAACAAATGTACCTGAAAACATACCTGAAATGTACCCACACCAGCCAGCAAGCATATGCATTAGGAACTCTCTAACCTAGAGGTATCACCCAGTGCCTAGCTCAGGCAATACAGTCGAATATAACATTCTGCTGTTTTAAAAAATTGTCTGTGTAGCTCAAAGCATGGTTTTTGTTTTAATTCCTACATCAAACTGTATCTAAGTTACACGGATCCCACAAATACTGCGCCGTCCTGACTTAACCACCTGAGGCCAGGTGGTTCTTCACCCAGAACACTGGCCCAAGCACAGCCCCAGGTTTCAGAGCCCCGACACAGAATCACACGGCTCATTTTCCCGGCCTACGAGTAGAAGCCGAGATAATTTCATGACTTTGTCAGTCTTCCTCTGCCCAAAGGTATCACAGAATTAAGTGTTTCGCCTGTTCAGACAAATGCTATACTCAGCAGCTCTGTTCATTATCTTCCGGGATTCATCAGGGAGTTTCTGGTAATACTCACAAATATTGTCTCCCCGAGAAGGGAGCCGTGATCTGCCAGAAAGATATTTTATATTCGTATTTTTATATTTTTATATTTATATTTATACCTTAAATACTGTTTTTTAAGATGTTCACGGAAGTGGTAAGCAAAGTGACTGGATTTACTGTCCCCGCTACAAAGTGCCCAGCCACCTCCCCAGCACACACCTGAAGACGATCCTAAGTTGTGACCGCCCCAGGCCCTGATCAGAGTCTTCATGACTCAGTACAAAGTAAGAACAACAGGGGCGTGCAAAGGAGTTGAAGGACAATCTCAGAATGTGACTTACCACTCTGGGCTTCTGCTGGTCCAGGGTATGCAGGAAGGCAGAGTTGGGGTCCAGGCAGCGCTCAGGGTCACTGGAGATGTCTTCCTCTGAGTCTTCATAGGAGGAGGAGAAGCCCGTGGAGGAGGCAGATGAAGATGACAGTTTCCTCAAGGGCAGGCTACCCCGGGGGCTTCCCTGTACCTCCTCCAAGGTCCCATCCTCCTGGGCACCCATGTCTGTGATGATCACCGCGGGTATACTGCTGGGGCTGCAGGCCTCTCTCCGGGAAGGCTTGTCCTTCCCATCTGGGGAGAGCAGCTCCGGGCTGGGGTGGGTAGCTCTGTCCTGCTGGGGGCTTCCCCAAGCACCCTCCGACTGCACCCCTGTGCCACACGTCCAAGCCAGCTGGGCTGCCTCCATGGGGCCCAGCCAAGGCCCGGAGCTCCCAGGCTGCACCCCCAGCCTGTCCCCAGGAAGGCACGGAGGTTCTTTCAAATCTTTCGCGGCTTCCCAGGAGGGCAAAAGCTCCAGCATTCGGCCAGAGGGAATTCCTGCGTCCACCTCCTGGGTCCCTGGCTGTGCAGAGCGGTTGCCCCCAAGCAAGCCCCACGCCGTTGGAGACCCTTCATCCACTCCCCTGCAGTGCTGTGGAGACTCCCTGATCACTGGGGCCCCACCCTGGGTCACCTCAGGGCCTACACAGCCCAGGTCGTGGGGTGGCCTGAACCGGCTCGGGGCCTCAGAAAGCCTCGAGCTTTGCGCGTTCACAGTCCTGTCCTCTGGCCTTCCGGCTTCAGGCGCCCCAGGGCCCTGAGCGCCACGGGGAGGACCTCCTTTCCCCACCTTCCCAGGGGGCTCTCCGCTGCGGGGCCTGCCCCTCTCCGGGGCTGGGCTTGTCTGACTGCCCAGAGACTGCCCCTGACTCTGCACCAGGGATTCCCCAGGGTGCAGACCCCCGAGCTCGTTGGCCCGCTCAGGCCGCTCAATGAAGCCAGCGTCTTGCGGATGGTGTGGCCCACTGGATGTGGCTCTCGCTGTCCCCTCTGTGGCCATCCCTAAGTTCACGCTGGCCAGCCCGGACGGGGGAGCTTGGCCGCTGCGCGTCCCTGAAGGCGGAGAGACTCTCTTGTCAACTTCCATAGCTCTGGGTGAGCCACAGTGGGGTCTGGCCGGGGTCCCCTTCTCCATTCTTGCAGAAACCGCTGCACCCTGAGCCCCTGGTCCTGACGGGGCGGCCGGGCGGGGGAAATGTGCCACCCCCTCGTCGCCCTCAGAGAGGCACAGGCCCGGCGCCCTTCCTCTCCGGGCCGAAAAGCCGGCCTCTGCAGTCTCTGGACATTGCTCCCCCCACGACTTTGTCCTCCGTTCCTCGCTCTGAGCCAGGGCTCTCCCTGGGGGCTGACTGCTGCTGCGGAGGGGGCAGGGGGAGGGCGAGCGAGCCCTGCCCAGACGCGGGCTGCGGGGCGCTTGGACGGCGGAGCTCTGCGCCTGGATGTGCGCCTCGAACATGCCCACTTTCTGGTTCACCTGCACATTCTGCAACTCGCGCTGCAGGATTCGCAGCTTCCTCTGGGCCTCCTCCGGCCCCGGAGGGGAGAGGGAACCGGCGGTCACCACCTGCTGCCCGTCCCCTCCCGGGCGGCCCGGCCAACTCGGGCTGCCCACGCTGCTGCCGCTGCCGCCGCCGCTGCCGCCGCCGCTGCCGCCGCTCAACCTCCGCCGGCCGCTCCGCCAGCCCCCGGGGCTCCCGGGCTCCTCGGGCGACAACGACTCGGCGGGGGGGAAGAGGAAAGAGGCGCCTCTCCCGGGGCTGAAAACGCTGCCGGGGCTCAGCACGGCCCTGCCCGGCGGCGGGGGCGTCTCGCTGCTGCTAGGCCGGGGGCCGCCGCTCTTCACCTGCTCGGCGCTATTCATGATCACCAGGCTGTTGAGTGCATAGCAGTACACAGCCATAGTACTGGGTCCGCCGCGCTGCCCGCCGCCGCGGCTCCCGAGCGGGCTCCGCCGCCGGCGCCTCCTCCTCGCGCGGCTCCCGGCTCAGCCCCGGAGGCCCGGCGGCCGCGGCTGGGCGCGCCGAGGCGGTGGCATGGCCTGGGCTGCGGGCGGGGGGCCAACACCGAGGGCTCAGCCCCCGCCCAAAGCTCCATAAACGACAGCTCCGCTGTGGAGACACAAGGAGGAAAGTCAGGACCCCGGAGGGCGGGGGAGGGGGGCGACGGGAAGGGGACACCGGGCGGGGGCGGCCGTCCCGCGGAAGCCCCGTCTGTCGGGGGTCCGGTGCCATTGGACATTTCAGCCACCGGGAGGGCGCGGCTCCGCGCGGACAGAGCCCGGCTGCGGGTGTGAGCTTCCCGAGTGCGCTCCCACCCCTCACCCCAGGGTGTGATGTGCGCTTGGAGGTCCCTGCAAAGTCCAATTCTAAAATTCCTCCCCAGAGCCACGCGGGCAGGCAGGGGCCTGCGTATGCCTACTTGGTTCCTAAGTGTGCTGCGTGCGGGCGCGGCTGGCTCGCATTTCTCCGAGGGTGCGGACACCCCATCCACCGTCTGCGGGTCTCCTCGGGCCGAGCAAACCCTGCTTTAAGCGGGAGGGAGGGAGGGAAGACCGCCCCTGGGCCGCGGCTTCTGCCGCCACCACCCTCTCCGGCCTCAGGCACCCACTTGGAGGGAACCTGAGCGGGACCTGCTTACCCAGCCGCTACCTGCGCCCGGCAGCGGGAAGACGCCTGCGCGCCGGCCGTTTACCTCGCCGACCCCGGGCTCGGGGCTGGGTCCCTCGGCCTACGGAGGCCCGGGCGCGCGGTGGGGCCGCAGCCGAGGCATTTTTCAGCACTGGCCTTGTCGCCTGTCCCCAAACAAGTGTGTTTTGTGAGTGTGGGCGCGCCTGCGCGCGCCCGGGGCCGAGGCGCTGCACGTCCCCTGTACCGGAACCAATATTCGCTGCTCCCTGTCGTCGCCCCCCACGGAGGCGTGTGTGTGTGTGTGTGTGTCTGTGTGTGTGTGTGTGTGTGTGTGTACGCGCGCGCACGGGGAGTCAGCCCTCCGCACGCCCTGTACCCAAGGACGCGGCTGCCTCTGCGGCACCGGGACCCGCGCCCACTCAGAGTCACCCCGGGGCCCGCGCGCCTGCAGCCCGGCTCCGCACCCCGCCCGGGCCCTCGCTCCGAACGCGGAGGCGCAGCCGAGGCCGGGCTCGTCCGCATCCTGGGCAACCTCACCCGGCGCCAGCCCAGCCGCCCGGCCGCCGGAACCGTGGACGCCCGGAGCGCGCGGGGAAGGCGGCGGGGGCCGGCGGCCCGGAAGGCGAGCCGGAGGGACACCCCGAACCCGTCCCTCCTCCCCTCCCCGCGCCCCGGCTCCCGCCGCCGTCCCGGCTCACACCCCTTCCGCGTCCCCGCCGCCCACCTCTGCGCCTTTCCAGAACCCGGAACGCCCAAGTTGGCTCCGGGGCAGGGGAGGGGAGAGAGGGCTCGGAGGCGAGAGCCGTGAAAAAGCCGCCAAACTTACCTGCAATTTCTCAGCTGCCCGGGCCCGTGCAGATTGTACGGCCCAGGGACGCAGACCTCGTAGGAACAAGATGGCTTGAAAAGTGAGAAAGCTCAGGATCAACCTCCCGAGCGAGCTATGGAAGACAAAAAAGGGGAGCGCGAACGCTGGGGGAGAGCTCCCGGGCTGGGGCCGGCGATCGCGCGGAGGCTCCGCGGGACCGGCCCCGCACGCCCTTTTGGGCCGTGCAGACACTACTCCTGTCAGCTTCTGCTCCGGCTACTTCAGTGTTTGTTCAATGTGCGATTAAAAAAAAAAAAAAAAAAGGGGGGGGGGGGTGGGGAGGAGGGGGGAGGGAGAAGGGGGGGGGCTTGGGGGAGGAAAGCAGGAAGGAAGTTGTGAGCCCGTCTGGGGTTGAACTCAGCGGAACAAGTTTTTCTTTTCTTCTTTTTTTTTTTTTTTTCTATTGCTTGGCAAGACCGAGGGAGGGAAACACTTAAAAAAAAAAGTTTCCATTGTTAGCTAACAACAACAACAAAAAAAAGCCTTTTAGCTTCTGCGGGTTAAAGATATACGATCCATTTTCCACTCCTCCACCGAGCCTTGCTGATGTCTTGCTTATTTTTGAAAAATGTTTTTAATAAAGTTTTGAGTGTGCATTTAAGCAAAGCAAATCGTGGGGACCTTTTTAGCATTTAAGACTAGCTCAGATCCCATATCAACGGTGTGATGTGTGTCCTCGTACACAAATACGCAAATTCAAAGAAGGTATTTTGTGGGGGCCTCCTTGCAAAGTTGCAGATTTTAAATGCATCGCATAGTATTTTGGAAGATTGTTGGGCTGTGAGCTGTTGATGGTTTTGCAGAGCAATTACTAGTTGTATAAATATGTCCGGGCCTTGCATGCTTATGTTACTAAATGGGCACAGCAAATGTGACATTGACATAGTTTTGCACTTAATGCTCAGTTATTTTAAGGAAAAGGATCCTCTTGAAACTAAGAAAGCCTGAGACCCTTTGCTCAGTCTCTTGTAGCTGGATCATTTCGAGAGCCTTTCCCCCCCACCATCAGCAAAAAAAAGGGGGGGTAGGTGCATCAGTCAATACTCTGGGGCAGGGGAGCCTGCCCCATGTGAGCTCTGGTGCCACCAGTGTGTTTTTCATAATTCCCTAAATCCTAAACTGCAGCGTTTAGTAGAAAGAGTGAAAACACAGCTGCCAGGCTCAGGAGATTTAAAAATCTAGAGCCTGAATCGGTCCTTATATTTCTATTAGCTAAAATTTAGACGGAAATTTTGACTTTGTTTGTAGCAGATGCATCTCTTGCTTGTTTATGGAACAATACTGTTCCAGTGAGCAAAACACCCTGCTGCTCAATCAGGGAAAGACTGGTGTCAAATCTGAAACCAAGAGCTCTTTTAGCTAAGAATTTCTGGGAATCAGACTTTGAGTCCTTTCAAATTTTTTTCCAAATATGCCATGAAAGGATTGAGCCTAGTTACTCTCCCACCCACAATGGGGCTAAATAAAAGGAGCCTAGACTTTATTCAGGTTTTGACTCAGGATCTGGGCAGTTGCTAAAGCAGAGATGCCAGGCCTACCCTTGACCCTAATTCGGTTCCCTAGTGGCAAGGAAGAGGAGCTGCCAGTTCCCAGGAGACCCATTCTGTCAGGTGTCATGGTGGAAGCGACTGGAGAACCTAGTAATGCATACAGTGAGCATGGAAATTTGGCTTCCCAGTTCCTGGGAAATCTCACTGTCACCTAATGGCTAGACTTTCCCAGAACTGAGAAATTCGGGATTCTGGGATGTCCAATTAACCTCAAGAATTTTTGCTCAGAAGGGAGCCAGCAGCTGGTCAGGGGCGGCCTGCAGAAGGAATTCCTGCTTTGGGCCAGAGGTAGAGGCAGATGACAATTGTTCCAGTCTAAAATTCTAACTGCGCTACCAAGAGCATGATGGATTGGGGAAAAGATGGAGCAAAACCCATATCTGGAAGTCAGCATGGTTGGCTTGCCTCCTGAAGCAGACTCTGGTTGTCTTCCATGATTTTAAATGAACACAGGGGAGAAAAAAAATTACATAACACTTCTTAGTAGTCAGGCACTGTTCACACTGTAATCTTCAGAACAATCCTATGAGCTAGATACTATGATTATCCCCATTTTACAGAGGAACAAAGTAAGGCACACCTGTGCAGTATGGATCTAGCATCTGTGCTTGTGACAATTTCTCCATATTCTGCACTAGATATCTACAACCGTAGGAAACGGTAGGGAAAGTTTGACCAGCTATTTGGGGTTTCCATCTTCCCACTTTTGAAATGGAATTTTAAAAATCATAGCTATGAAACTAAGAACCAGAAAGGGAATTTCCTCAATTCGACAAAGGGTATCTATGAAAAAACCTACAGCTAACATCATACTTAGTGGTGAAGGGCTGAACACTGGCCCCATAGGATGAGGAGCAGGTAAGGATGTCTGCTCTTGCCGCTCCTATTCAATGTGGTACTGGGAGTCCTTGTCAGAGCAATTAGATGAGAAACAGAAATAAAAGGCTTCCGGATTAGAAAGAAAGAAGCGAAGCTCTATTTACAGTTGATATGATTGTCTATGCAGAAAATCCAGTGGAGCCCACAACAAAGCTCTAAGTGAGGTTAGCACGTGTGTATTAATTTGCTAGGGCTGTGGTAACAAAGTACCAAGGCCCCAGTGGCATAACCAAAGAAACCTATTTGCTCACAGTTCTGGAGGCAAGAAGTCTGAGATCAGGGTGGTGGCAGGCCTGGCTTCTTCTGAGGCCTCCCTATTTGTCCATCTTCTCCCCACGGTCTGCCCTGTGTGTGTCTGTGTCCCACTCTCCCCTTCTGATGAGGACATCAGTCATATTGGATTAGGGCCCACTCAATTTTAACTAAATTACCTCTTTAAAAGACCCTATCTCCAAATACAGTGACATTCTAAGGTACTAGGAATTAGAAGGTCAACATGTAAATTTTGAGGGTACGTAATTCAGCCCATAACAGCCAGGATGTGGGATACAAGATCAATACATCAAAATCAATTGTGTGTCTGTAGATCAGCCATGAACAATCAGAAACCCAAATTTAAAAGAATAATATTTATAATAGCATCAGGAACTATGAAATACATAGGAATCACCATGACAGAAAGGGTATAAGACGGTAAAATGAAATCTGTAGAACACTACTGATGAAATTCTAACAGAAAGATACCCCACCTGCATGAACCAGAAGACTTGGGATTGTTACTGTGTCAGTTGTCCCCAAATTAATCTACAGGTTCAGTGCAATCCTGATCAATATCATCTGGTTTTTTTGTTTTGTTTTGTTTTGTTTTGTTTTAGAAACTGACAAGCTGATTGTAAGCTTCAGAGGGAAATACAAAGGATCCAGATTCACCTGAACAGCCTTGAAAAAAGACCAAAGTGGAAGGACTCTCTGATTTCAGGACTATTATAAAGCTGTAATCACCAAAACAGCACAGTATTGTCATTAAGTTAGAAAAATTGATAAATGTGACAGAACACACAGTCCAGAAATAGACAGGTATGTAGAGAGAAGATTGATTTTTGATTCAGGTGCACAAAAGTGGAGAAAGGAATCTTCTTTTTAAAATTGTGATTTCATTATTTTCTTTTTTTAAATTTTATTTTATTATGTTATGTTAACCACCATACATTACATCGTTAGTTTTTGATGTAGTGTTCCATGCTTCATTGTTTACGTATAACACCCAGTGCTCTATGCAATTCATGCCCTCTTTAATACCCATCACCAGGCTAACCCATACCCCCACCCCCCTCCCCTCTAGAATCCTCAGTTTGTTTTTCAGAATCCATCGTCTCTCATGGTTCGTCTCCCCCTCTGATTTCCCCTCCTTCATTCTTCCCTTCCTACTATCTTCCTTTTTTTTTTAACATATAATGTATTATTTGTTTCAGAGGTACAGGTCTGTGATGAATCTTTTGACAAATAACGATGTAACAACTGGATATGGATATCCATATGAAATTCAATCCATATCCTGTACCATGTACAGAAATTAACTCAAAATAACTCATAGGTCTAAGTGTAAAACCTAAAACCATAAAACTTTTATGAGGAAACATAAGAGAAAATCTTTGGGGCCTTCAGTTGAACAAGTATTTCCTAGATACGACACCAGAGCATGATCCTCAAAAAAAAGAAAAGAAAAGAAAAGAAAAGTTGACAGATTGGACTATATTAAAATTAGATGCTCTTCTGAAACAAATGAAAAGATAAGCTACAGACTGGGAGACAATATATGCAAAGCGTATATTTGAAGATTTATTTATTTTAGAGAGAGAACAAGCAGGGAAAGGGGCAGAAAGAGAGAGAATCCCCAAACAGACTCCCCGCTGAGGGGCTCCATCCCAGGACTCTGAGATCATGATCTGAGCCGAAATCAAGAGTTGGCTGCTCAACTGACTGAGCCACCCAGATGCCCTGCAAAGTGAATATTTGATTAAAGGCGTAGTATGTAGAACATGTAAAGAACTGTTAAAACTCAATAATCAGAGAATGTAAAAAATGGGCAGAAATTTGGGCTGACACATCATCCAAGGATGTATGGAAGTGGCAAATATGCATTGAAAAGATAGTCAACATCAGTAGTCAGCAGGGAAATGTGATTTAAACCACACTTAAACACCCTTACGCACCTGTAGAAGAAGTGAGTTTTCATACGCTGCTAGTGGGAATATCAATGACATCACCACTTTGGACTACAGTTGGACAGTTTCTTAAAATGCTAGACATACCAGGGCACCTGGGTGGCCCAGTCGGTTGAGCATCCGACTCTTGATTTTCAGCTCAGCTCATGATCTCCGGGTCGTGGGATTGAGTCCTGCATCGGACCCTGCACTCATCGAGGAGTCGGCTTGAGATTCTCTCTCTCCCCCTCTGCCTCTGCCCCTCACCCCACTTGCATGCGCACGTGCATGCTCTTTCTTTCTCAAAACAAATAAAATCTTTTAAAAAAAGCGCTAAACATGCACCATTCCACTCCTTGGTATTTACTCTAAAGAAATGAAACCATATGTCCAGGGGTGCCTGCTGGCTCTGCCAGTAGAGTGTGCAACTCTCCACGTTGGGGTTATAAGTCTGAGCCCCACACTAGGTGTAGCAATTACTTAAAAATAAAATCTTAAAAAAAAAAAGAAAGCATATGCCCATTTATAGGTTTGTACACAAGCAGCTTTATTTGGATTGGCCAAAAAATGAGGAACAGCCCAAATGTC